GCAGAAGGAAATTAGTTTGATAAATGGAAATGAGAATTATCTTCTATCCCAAGCCAAGAAATCTAAGATGATCGCCCTGCACGGTAACTGGCACTAACTACCCTGTGGGCACAGCTCATGCATAAAACTCTTACACACCCAGAATGTAGATTGATGGATTTACACTTCACACACACACACACACACACACACACACACACACACACTTTTCCTCCCAAAACACAACTTAAATATGTCCTGTGTTGCTTGGGTTCCTCTCAGAAGGAGACACTGAGCCAAGGTTTCAAAGGCAAGCAGTTTACGTGGGAGGTGATTCCAGGAAACGCTAGAGGGGAGCGGGAAGCCCGACGGGGAGGGAGGGCAGCGCAGAGGGCTTGTTTTCAAGCGGGGACCACTGTGAGTAGCTGAGTCCTGCTGCAGACCTGGCACCTCAGACCTTCCCAGCCGGGGGCCTAGAGTGAGTCTGCCTGCTTCCTCCCGTCAGTCATTGGGGGAGAGGGGACAGTCATCCATTCCTTATACTTCTGACCCGTCGTGCTGGGCCACAGGAGGACCTGAGGGCCAAAGAAAGGCCCAGGCGGGGCAATGCGAGGGCGGGCAGCTGGGGGTCAGGCCGATGTGCGCCGCGTGGCAAGGGTGCGGGTAGGTCCGCAGGGCAGCACCTGCCACAGCTCTTCTTAGTAGGACTGCCTGCCTCTCCCGTTTCCTCCAGAGCTTACTTGACGGCTCCCGTCCTTCCACGGAGACTCGCAGGCAGGGCCGAGGCCCTGGGCAGGACAGCAGGGAGCTGCGGACGTGCTGGCCCCAGCCCTGCCCGCGGAGAGGGCGAGCGCGCCCGACCTGCTGCCCGGGCCCCCGGCCCCTGCGGAAGCCTCCTCGCCGCGTGCAGAAGCCTAGCACACGGGGGGTTCTCGGGGTTCTGGCTGGTATTTTTCTTTCCAAAGGTAAAGAGAAGAAATCTAGGCCAATTTATGGAATTATAAATATAATGCTCTAAATAAGCATATAGGGCCAATGTACAGGTGATCAGTACCAAAGAAAAGCATAGCAGGGGCGCTAGTTTGGAGGAGGGCTGTGGGAAGGCTCCGATAAGGGATGTTACAATATATATTACACATATATACATACATATCTATGTTTCTTACCCTTTCATTCCAGTTCTAGGGTCCAGTGCGTAGATGTTCACACAAGCACTAGACGAGTCACTGCCGCGTGGTCCACAGCAGCGGAGGCTGGAAACAAGCTAGACGTCACCTCCGTGGGAAACACGTGTCTAGCGTTTAACGTGTCAGGCACTGCTCTGGGGTATACAAATGCTAGCTCCTTTCACCCTCAGCACAAAGCTAGTACGGGCTAACGTTGTTACTTCCCCCTTCAGATCAGAGAACCGAGGCAAAGCAATGAAGTCCTTCATCCAAGTCAACACAGAGCAGAAATGGTAGAGTCTGGGCTTGAACCCAGATGTCCTGGCTCCAGGGCCCGATCTCGAGACCTGGATAAAGAGCTGCCTCCCTCTCTTGGGGGGACTAATTATGGTTCCAACCTGTCTGTGAAATTCTATGGAGCTACTGAAGAAAAGGGGACAGTTCTACATATACTAATATAGAAATATCTCTAAGGCATTAACCCGCAACATCAAAGTACTGGACGGTATGGACAGGGCGCTACCATATGTGCGCCAGGCAGGGAAGGAAAGAAAGGAGCGCCTCATTCTGCACACCGCGCTTCTGGGGGGCCCTGCCGGGCTGGGAGGGGGGCTTTCGGGGAGAGGAATGGGAGACGGAAACTTTTCAAGGCCTATCTCCTGCTTTAAGTGTTGATCATACATATATATTATCTGTTTTATTAAACACAACTTTAAAACAGAAAGGAAATAAATTTTTTCCAGTAGAACAGTGGAAAATGTCACCTTCTGAATTTTGCAGAACTTATATTACCTTGTACTTCCAAGACCAAAGGTGAACACTTCCCTCTTTCACGTGGCTTCAATTTATTTATTTATTTTTTGGTGGTTGATGTTATTTTATCAAATTGTGAAATGCACTAATTCATGTGTAAATTTTAATGAAAATAATTGCATAATACGGAGTTATTTTAGTAATGATTTAAAACATTTCCTGGCTTTGTACACTCATCTTTGAAAGAAGAAAGGGGAAACAGCTTGGTGTAATCATTCCAGCACTGCTTCTGTGCCTGTCCCACTACGTGGCCCGGAAAACAAATTATTCCTTTAATTCTGTAGCATTCATTAGAAAAACCACACCAACACTTCGTTTCTTCCTGTTTTACTTGAATACGTTTAAGTATCTTTATGTTAAATAAACTCAAATCGGTTCCTACAAATGACAGTAGGGAAGCGTTTGTCCTGGTTTCACTCACACTAAACGATTGAAGACAGTAGCTCCTTTATTCAAAAAGAACTTGTCCTTTTCATGGAAAGGCATCCGTAGCTGAAAATGTTAAAGTTTTAGGACAACTGTGCTTTCATCATCAGGATTCCTATAGAAAATCAGGGAGGGTAAGAATACATTTAAGCAAATACTGAAGACCACTTGCTTATAATTTCTCGCTCTGCACAGAAAAAGCAACACGAGTTAATTCTGTTCATTAAAATAAGGAATTGCTCAATTAAATAGACTAAAATAGTTCCAATTAAAGATATAAATTTCTCTAAGGGCAAAATTTGAGAATCTTCTACAGTATAAAGACAACATTTTCTTTTGGTTAAATAGTAAAACTAAGGTGTTCTTTTAACTCAAAGAAAGGATAAGATAAAAAGCACATTAACCAAGACCTTGAAACTTTCAGTTGTGTTCCCAACAGAAGCAGTAAGCAGGCTTCGAGGTTGGAGAGGGAGAGAACCGACTTCCTTAAAAAAGGAAATTAAGATTCTCAAAACACCAATCAGAATGAATCTATGCAGCCCTATGTTCATAGCAGCACAGTTTACAAGAGCTAAGATCTGGAAGCAGCCCCAGTGCCCATCAGTAGATGAGTGGATAAAAGGCTGTGGGACATTCACACCAGGGAATACTACGCAGCTGTAAAGAAGAAGGATCTCTCACCCTTTGGGACAGCATGCATGGACCTGGAGATTATGTTAAGCGAAATAAGCCAGGCAGAGAAAGACAAACATCACATGATCTCACTTATATGTGGAATCTAATAAACAAAATAAATTGACGAACAAGATAGGACCACAGACATGGAAGCATGAAACAGACTCATACCTCAGAGGAAAGGCAGGAAGGATGGCAGGAAGAGATTAAAGAATTTAGAAGCATATATGCATAACCCATGGACACAGACAATAGACAGGTGAAGGCAGGGGAGTCGGGGAGAGATGGTTGGAGGGGGGCAAAGAGGGGAAAATGTGGGACATCTGTAACACTCTCAGCAATAAAATAAATTTTAAAAAAAGAAAAGGAAATTAAGATTTCCTAGGTAAATGCTTCCTACCCCAAAGTACAGGTATGTTCCATCTCACTAGGACCTTGTTCCCATTTCAACAAATAGACTCTATCCAATTAATTCCATAAACTAGAGACCAGGGGTCATCTTGAAATGTCCTCTGCCCTGTCCTCTGGATCGAATGCCTAACCCAGTGCATCACCAATTCATTCGTTTATTCTTTTATAGTAAGTTAACCATTGTGGCTCCTTCCCAAAGCCACTGCCTTGTCTCTTTCCCCTTGTTTTCTCTGAACGCTGCCTCTCCTCACCAGCTTCGTCTCCTCACTTCTCACTCCCCGACTCCCTCCAAGCTGACTTCTGACCTGATCAAGCCATGGAAATAGCTCTCGCTAATGTCGCCGGCGACATCCATGTCACTAAACCAATGGACATTTCTCATCTCTCCTCTCACCCGACCATGGCCCCTCCTTTTAAAAGCATTCCCTTGGTTTCTGGGACTTTGCATTCTTCTGGTTTCCCTCCTGCCTCCCAGCGGTTTTCTTCCAGGTTCACCCTCCAGCCAGGCCTTTCAATCCTGGATTTCTTCAAGGCTGAGTTTTGGTCCTCGGGTTCTCCTTTTATCTTTCTGGACTAGCAGTTCTGCAAAGTGTATTCCACAGCCCCTTTAATGGGGCCACAAGGTAAAAACTATTTTGCAATTTTTAAATTTTTTTTTTACTAAAATGTTACTTGCCACACTGGCCCTACAGGCACAAAAGCTATGTTGGGTAAAACTGCCGGTGGTCAGTCTGAATCAAGATTGGCACCAAACTGTACTAATGGTTACTGTATGCTTCCCCGTCATGTGCTTGCAGAAAGTCTGCTGCACTGAAGAATGAGCTTGATTAATTAGCAAAAATATCAAATTTCATTAAACCTGACTCTCGAATACGTGGTCTTTTTCCACACAGACCTAAGTTATGCTAGCACCATTTATTGAAAAGACTAGTATTTCTCCATAGAATTAACACCTTAGTGGAAAATCAACTGATCATATAATTATGGGTCTATTTCTGGACTCTCAATTTGTTCCATTGACCTTCTCTGTCTTTCCTTATGTGGATACCATACTGTCTCAATTACTATTTACTAAAGCTAATTACTAAAGCTAATTACTATTAGCTTTATAGTAAGTTTTTAATCAGGTAGTGTAAGTCCTCCAACTTTGTCTTTTTTAAAAAGTTGTTTTAGATATTTTAAGTCCTCTGCTTTTCCACATAATTTTAGAGTCACCTTGTCAATTTCTACAGAAAAGCCTGCTAGGGCTTTGATTGGGATTGCCTTGATTCTTTAGATTGATTTGGAAAGAAATGTCACCTTCCAATCCATGAACATGGTACATTCCTCCATTCATTCAGGTTTTCTGTACTTTCTCTCAATGTTTTGTAGTTTTCAGTGTCTCAAGGACATTGAGAGTAATGCTGGAGATTCCTGCTGTAAGTCTTGTTTTTAATATCTCATATATTCAAAGCAATGTCCATTAGCAAGCAAACGCTCAAGAACAGGATTACCTGGTATTTTTAAAAAAGATTTTGTAAGACACAAAGCTTTCAATTAAAAAGTTATTTATTAAAAAATATTTTCCCCCAGTTTTGATGACATATCAAATTAAACAAGGAGTGAGGTTACAAAGCAATAACTGATCAGATCTTTTTATATAGAGGATGACAATGACCTTATTAGCTCATTGTACATTCTACTAGTGGAATAAAACCTCAATTCACTCACTTCATAAAAGGTAAACATAACTGATATACTTCATACCTAAATTTTTTATAAAGCTTGTGTTCAAATTTTAGTTAAAAATTCAGCTAATATAAAATGATATTGACTTAAAAGAGCATCTAAGCAATGATGTAGATTTTCCTGTTTTTGCAAAATTCAGTGACATTTCTTCACTGCTCCCAAGAACCACCTGAGGATCCTTTGTGCTTCCACTCTCCCCTTTTCCAGGGGTTGAAGCATGCTGGGAACACGATTTAGAGAGCACCAGCAATGCCACCAGATCCCCGAGCCTAAAAGAGAGCTTCTCACATGTTTTGAAGTTCTTAGGAACTTCAAATTAATACACAGAATACAGGCACTGAAAATGGCTTTCAGAAACGTATACATTCAACGGAAACACTCAGCACTGAAGCCTTTGGGGCAAGGACTGCTCTTTCCATGATTCAAGTGGTCAGTCTTTTCTCGACGGTGTCTTGGTAAGCGACAAACCTTCTCAAGTTCATCTTTATGTTGTTAAGCACACACAGCTGATCTGGACTGTATCTACCTCTGCCTTCTTTTCGTATCTGCCAAAAGAAAAACCATACAGAATTGGGCGTAAATGAGTAATTCTTTTAAATAAAAAAGCACTTCATTTTCGGTATATTTACTTTCAGAATGAGACAGTTGCCAGAACTGGGTGAAACATTTTCACTTCCCAGGTAAAAGGAATACAGTATGAGCTATAAAGATAAAGTAAGATCATGCACCTTTTAACTTAATTAAATGTATTGGGGTAACACTGGTTAATAACATTATGTAAAATGTTATCATATACTTGCCAGTTCGGCTCAGTAGTTAGAGCGTTGGCCTGTGTACTGAAGGGTCCCGGGGTTCGAACCAAGGGCATGCACCTCGGTTGCAGGCTCGATCCCCGGCCCCAGTCCACTTGTGTGTGAGGCAACCAATCTATGTGTCTCTCTCACATTGATCTCTCTCTCTCTCTCTTTCTCTCTCTCTCTCCCCCCCCCCGTCACTCTCTCTGAAAAGCAATGTAAAAAATATTCTCAGGTGAGGATTTAAAAATATAATAATTAAAAAATATATAAAAAAATAAAGACAAACCACTGTTAATGACCCTAAACCGACACCCACTCGAGATGCAGCAATGGCAGAAAATGTGCACAGCCTGGTTTCTAGTTTCTTTTCTTCTAGAAAACTATTTTTTATGCCTTAAAAATTTTTCAGAAAATTTAAATTTCTAGACATACAATCCTATTCACCTAAAACTTGGCACAGAGCTCTCTGAGGCCTGTATTCTGCGATAGAAGCTTGTTAGATCAAGCATGTGCATATTCGAAAAACAACACACAGCAAGATAATTTCCCATCAAAACTCTATTCTCCTGACAAAGATTTAAAAGCAAATGTTGAATTTAAAATCTAAAAGCACAAATTACGGATATTTTTATTTCAAAAATGACATAATTTAAAAACTAAGATTTATGTAAGAGAATTGTACATTTAAATGCATGTGATTCAAGGCTGTTTTAAAATCCCTGGTGTCTCTCCACTTGCCCCCATGCCACCAAAACAGGTTTTGAAATTTATTTTTTGACTCAAAGTTAGCTTTGATGCCTGTGATGAAACAATAAATAAAACAGCTAATGAAAGTGATGACATCCTCCAGTACATTTGCCAACACAGACCAGCTGTGAGTTTGCCATCTTCTCAGAGCACCAAAGGGAAGCACTCATGACAATGAAATCGACCTGTAACGTACTATATGATATAAAATCAAGTTGACGAGCTGAAGAGCTCTGTAGGCCACAGGCTATAGCGCTAACACATAAAGAGCACTACTGACATCAGTAAACTTGCAGAATGAAGACCTGTCAGATGCCGTCTGGCTCAGGTCACCGTGACTGAGTTCTCTGGGGTGACTGAGCCGACTCAGCCCAGCAGCACTCATAGCCCTGGCCCAAGGAGCTCCAGGCACCATAGAGGCGGCTCGGGGGTAATGCATGTACCCCCTTCCCACAGGATGTTGAGGCTTAAGCATTTCTAATACGAACGACCTCATACCTTCATCTTGAAGACTGGCTGGAATTCTTTCAGAGCAGATAACAAATGAATTTGAACTGAGGCCCTTTCAGCTTCTTTGCCGTCTGCGAACACATCAAAGAGGGCGTCCAGAGCCTCTCCTGCTACCACCAGTGAAGGGTCTTTGGTCGCCACCTCCAGCAGAAAGCACCCAATGGTCTGGAGTGGACAAAATGCACCATTGTCACCCAGTACTCTCAGGTCAATTTCCAAAGTACCAGCTTTAAATGTGGCAGTGATTTATGCGTATTATTTTATATAAAAATGCCAGGGAGAAAGTAAAACTTTTAAAAGATTAAAGACTAAAGACTTGACATATATTTATAAATATACCAAGCACAATATAAGCAAGATAAATGAAACACATTAGAATTCATAATCCTAAATAAAATGAATTAAGGTCCATAAATGGTATGTGAAAGATTGATTTAGGAAATTATTAAATTTCCCTGTCTCTCTCAAAAAGGCTTTCCCCATGGTGTCAAAATGCATAGAAATATTATCTGTAACAAAAAAAACCTTGCTTTTAAAATTATTTGAAAAACACTCAAAGACAATAAAAAAATTGAAAGTAACACCATCTCACGTTGCCTCAGTGTGATTTTTGATGCCCACCCATTTCTCACAGCTGGCTCGCTGATGCGCAGCCCATTCTCAACTGCAAAGACTTGTTCGAGAGTGAACTCAGTTTACTCTGGGGAACCATTGGACAGTCTGTTAACCCCTCTGAGGCTCGGTTTTCTCATCTGAATTTACATGTCTAGATAACCTCTAAGATACTACCCTGATTTAATATCCTATATAATAGGATATATTTTACTAATATCCCTCAGTAAGCAACTTCTCAATATGATTTCTTGTCATGATGTCCACTGAAGTTTATTAAAACCCCACACTACAGTGGCTCTTCCCCCATTTCTAATTATTGAACATTTTGGGTTGGAAGCAGATTATTTTACCTTGAGAGTTTCAAGTGTACCATTCTCTTTGGCGAGGACGCTGCCAGTGATTCCCAAAATACTAACCACGTTCACTCTCACCCCGACATTGCCGCTCTGAATGCCTGCTCTGCACAGTGTCATCAGCTGATCCGGGGTCATGCACTGTGGAGAAGAGGAGTGTTTATGGTGCTGAACTCAGCCAATTCCAACAGCACGTGAGACACAGTTGATGGGAATCTCTCCTATAGGCTACAGGCTGCCTGGTTCTGAGAACAACATAAGTTCTTAGCAAAGAAGTGGTTATATATTTCTGATCACTCCCAATATAGCTGGTCGTTTGAGCTAAGATGAGACCTGTCATCATTTCATCATCACGGTAAGCCTAAATTTAAAGGGGCTTCCATTCCTATTAGTTTCATTTGAAGACAACGTTCATTCAGATGCACACAGACTAAAAAGATTCCAGTTTCATTTTAGCACTGAGCATAAAGTGTTTTGAAAATGTAGTAAGATCATGAGCTTTAATAAAAATTGGCTGAATCTATACAGGTAAGAACTCACTCCGAGATGTTTTATGGTGAATTATTAAAGATGGTGAAAAGCATTAAATTACATAGTGATTTACATAGTGATGCTTTCCAGTTTAAGCTCATTTGAACACACGTGAGGATGCGGTGTTGTGAGAGTGAGACGTCCCGCTGCCTGGGAGCAGCAGCACAGTGTGGGGGTCAACGGCTTGGGAGCTGGAGTCCGACGCCTTGGGTTCAGCCCCACTACTTTCCACCTAGCTACCCAGCCCAAGTTCCTGAGCCCACTAAATCCTGTTTCTCCGTCAGCAACGCTGCGACAGTAATCACAGAGCTGCGAGGAGGAATAAATACATATACAGCACTCACCAAATGTTGGCTGTTATTATGTATAAAAATCCCGAGCAGTTCTGCCTGGCCAGGCGTGGCTCAGCAGTTGAGCGTCAACCTAGGATCCAGGTGATCCGGGTTCAATTCCCGGTCAGGGCACATGCCCGGGTTGAGGGCTCGATCAATGACTCTCTCATCATTGATGTTTCTATCTCTCTCTCCCTCTCCTTTCCTCTCTCTGAAATCAATAAAGATATATTTAAAAAAATAATAAAAAAAATCCCGAGCAGTTCTAAATCACCTAATTCGTTTCTGAATCAGAAAGCAGTCTAATGAAAAAGCTTCACTAACTACGGCATCCTTCCGAACTAGGACAGGCCAGTGGGAAGACCAAAGGTGTGCCGATCATCAGTGGTCTGACTCACAATGTAAGCTGCCTAATGTGTGAAAGCCACCAGGTAAAGCACTGGCCAGGCAAGCAGGACAGCTGTGTCTGGGCTTGGAGCTGTCACTCAGAAGTCGAGTCCTTCGTTTCCTCTCCTTATGAAGCATTCGAGAGCCAGGCTCCTTCTAGCTCTAAAATTCGAAGCTCTAGCCCAATACACAGCCAACCTGAGAATGTATGATCTTAACATATATGAATAATTTATTATTAACTGAGCCTGAGCCTTGAGTAATGTCTTTTAAACATCAGGCTGACCCAGTAAATGACTGCCTGAACACCATGGCTAATCAATAAAAATACTTGATACTCCTGTAAGCCCTACAGGAGAGGGTTTTCTGATCCTCCCAACAGCCACACAGGAGGCCTGGCACTATTATTCCCATTTCATAGAAACTGAGAGTCAAAAGTTGTGTTCTTGAAAATAATTCTCAAATATACAAAGAAATGTTTAAAGAGTATATAGGAGAAGCCAATAGTATGTACTATATTTAACAGTAATACACCAGGCATTCCCAGTAAACTGGAGCAAGACCGAGTTGGGGATGCTCTGCCCTAGAGGCACGGCCATGGAGTGCCCAGGGGAGGGAGGAAGTCGCGGCGTCTGGGCAAAAGGAGGTCCAAGAGCTGCGAGGCCAGGTCACCAGGACAGCGAGGTCACCGAGTGTGTGGAAAGGACTAGGGACGAGGAACGGGACCCAGCAGAACCTTCGAGGCACGAGGAGAGCCCCAGGTGACAGGTGTAACCAGCCAGGGAGAGCGAATTCAGACTGTACATTGTTGAGAACCAAGAAACATCTGTTCATTTGAGGGCCTGGGTAATGGTATTGTGGTTATGTTTTTAAAAAGTTCTTTTTCTGCCCGGCTGTCATGGCTCAGCGGTTGAGCGTCAGCCTAGGATCCAGGAGATCGAGGTTCGATTCCTGGTCAGGGCACATGCCCAGTCGGGGGCATGCAAGAGGCAGCTGATCAATGACTCTCTCATCAATGTTTCTATCTCTCTCCCTCCCTCTCCCTTCCTCTCTTTGAAAATCAATAAAGACATATTTTTTAAAAAAAGTTCATTTTCTGTCACAGACATAATATTTATGGGTGAAATAATGTGATTTGCACTGAACAACTCCAGGAAGCAACCACAACCATGTAGGGGGGATAAATGAAACAAGAATACAGGATGCTGACAGCTTGTTGACACCCGGTAACGTGCACTCAGGTTCATCACGCAATTATCTTTACTTGTAACAAGACACTGCTATCTTTGCTGTTAGGAAAGTTTGACAATTTCCTGAATAAAAAGTAAAAAATTTCAGCAATAAGGCGCCTCCCACAGAAGTGAGATGGATCACTGTGGAGGGTGGGAGGCATGCTTGACAATGTCTGTAACAAAACATTTTTAAGAAGACAAACTACATGCAGAGAAAATATTTACAACACCAATGTCGAGTAAGAAGTTTCCCAATGAAAAACCTCTGCGTGCTGGTGGCAGCAGTGGGAGAGGGAAAGCTTACGTTTCACGTTAAGCACTTTTGTTTTCTTTTTACAAGGGTCACTGTAATAGAAACAAGAACTTCAAAAACAGTGAAGTGATAAATTTCACCTCTACAATACAGACTCTTGGCTAGTTTCACATAACAACTAGAAATATCTTACCTGAGAAATGTTCTTGGAGGCCATTGTTTGCAAAAGGGCCCTCAACGCACTACTTAAGGCTTCTAGGAAGTCACCGTGCTTGGCGAGGTCTGAAACACAGAGTGAAATGCATATTTGCCTTTCTCCAAAACAAGTCGTTTTGTATAAAAGGAAACAGAGTCAAAACAGCATGTTAAGGTTAATACATACTATTATCATAAAAGCACTTTAGATGGAAGCCGAACTTCTGGTAACAGCCCCTGCGGCCCAAACACTTGAGTCTGAAAGACAAGCCTGGCTGAAACAATCATGACAGGGAGCGTGCTAGACAGTCCTCGGCTGCCCAGCGCCGCTTTCACACGTGATAAACCCGAGCTGGCTTCTGTGGAGTGAATTCAGCTTTCACAGATCACCATCGCGGTGCTGGGCAGACCTGGGTGGAGTCATCTTCCAAACCAGAGTCTTCCCTGCCAGCCCACACCCACTGCCCAGCCCAGAATTGCTGCCGGAGCAGGGCCAGGCCACCACGCCTCCACAGCTCTCAGCCCACCCGGACTCCCCTTTCCACCCCGCTCATTCTTACTGTCCCTTCTTCCCAGGCAGGACAAACAGAACAGCAGCAACAATCAGGCTAACAGTCCACAGAAGGGTGAGGGCAGCCAGGTGAGTTGGTGCCCTAACCCTCTGTGGGGAGGGAAAGTGACTGACTTGGTGGGTAGGTTATATTTTCCAAAACCAGCCACAGCAGTACTCCCAGTTCGGCATGACCTTCCAGAACCTGGCCACTTCTGGAAAGACATGGAGTCTATTTCGACTCCCCTTGACTCTGGGTGGGACTTTGTGACTAAGTCTCCAACCAACAGGACTTAGGAAAGTGCCAGATTACATCATAAAAGGCGACCTGACTTCCACCTGACTCTTGCCCTTGGAACCGGCCCCCATGTTGTGAGGAAGCCCAGGTCACATGCAGAGGTCACTGTGGGTGGTCTGACTAGCAGAGTGTGAGGAACAGGGCTTCAGGTGATGCTGGCTCCCAATTCCAGCAGAAGGCCTGGGCGGGTTCCCCACCTCTGCACACCTGGCATTCTGGACCAGGTCACACTCTCTGCCGTGGGCAGGGGTCTCCTGTGCACATAGGATTGCTGCAGCAGCCCTCACTTTTACCCTCTAGACACCAGCAGCAACTCCCCAGGCGTAACAGAAAATGCCTCCAGACACTTCCAAATGTCCCCTGGGGGCAGAAGAGCCACTGGCCTAGACACTGTGGAGTAGAAACAAGCATCCCCACAGTGCTGTCTAAATCCCTGACCTGCAGAAACCATGAGAAATAACACAGGATTATTGTTGCTTCAAGCCACAAAGTCTCGAGTGGTTTGTTATGCAATGAGATACCTTGGCTATCTGCCCTGTGGTGCCTGGGGCCCAGTAAGGGTTCCGAAGCCCCTTGGCTGCCTATGAGACTGAGAAATGGTTTTTGTACAAAGCTCAGCTCCTGGCTCTCTCACCTTCAGAGACATATTACAGTCCCCTGTAACAGTGGGGACTGCCTGCAGGAGTCATAGGACAGACACCAGGATGGCTTCAGGACCAGACAGACCTGGGATACAATCCTGTCTGACGTCCTATGACCTCCCCATTTCAGTCTCTGCTCAAATGTTACCTCCTCAGAGGCCTTTGCACAGCACCTAACGCAGCACCTCACGCCAATTCTCTCTTTATGTTTTCTTCATAGCTGAAATGACACTAAACCTTTACTCCTATGAGAAGGCCAGCTCCATGCCAGTGGCCTTCCTATCTTGCTCATGCCCAAATCCCTCACACCCAAAACACTGGATGGTATGAAGTAAGTGTTCAAGAAACTTGTGCTGAAAGGAGGAATGAATGACCTGGAAGAAGCTCCTTAGCCCCTCGATCTCTGCTTCCGCACCAGGAAGACGGGTAATAATGCTTAGCTCTCAACCTCAAACCTAACAGGCACTCAGAAACTGGCATGAAGTTGTTAATATTAAATCTCAACAAGTCACCACGCTGGCTCTGAAACATAAGATATATTTATTTTTTTATTAAAGTTATAGTGTAGCCCTAGAAATGCGTGACTTGCATAAGCCACGTTATAAAGAGCTTACTCAATACAAACTAGAACACATCTCAGAATCAATTTTTTTCTGTCCTCCATTCTCAGGAAAATAACCAATACTTTGGATTCAAAACCCTAATCTAAACTATGCTATAGGTTCACGTCATGTGTAGTTAACACTTTCCCTAAATTAAGAAAAATACTTGAGCAATTTTGTTTAATTCATGTTTCTTTCCTTTATCCACGTTTGGGAATGGATTTCAGACTGCCATGGCTTTCTAACAAAGTCGCAGTAAAAGGTCAACACACATGGTATTTTCAAAGATACTAAATGAAGGTCGAAAGAAGTTAAACAGAGGTGATTTGCAACGTCCTTCCTCTCACCAAGTCTGTGCAGCCTCTAAGAATTTGTAGCGTGCCCAGATGTAGGTACTGACCCATCCACAGGTAACCAAGCAGCCAAGTACGTGCAGGTGAACCTTTCAGGCTGCGTTTCAATGTTCTGATATGGAACAGAACATGTGTCCCAGAATGTGTGCTACCACCATTACCACAGAGCTGCTCATGTCCCCTGGTTTTGGAAAACAGAATCCTCAATGGTTTCAGAGCCCACATAAAGGAGCAAATGATAGACTGACCCAATTTGAAAATACAACATCACTAATGTTGGAGCATGCATTACACCTTCTACAGCTAGGTCATTAACTATGTGTGTATCTGTCTAGGATTCTGTGTAAGAATGAAACTCACCTGTATCAGAGCCCTGAAAATTAGAGATTCAGCTCTTACGATGCCAAGGTGTTGAATACGGGCATGTGTTAGGAAAAGCAAGGTGTAGAACTGTGTGGATGGTGGTCTACCATTGGCCTTAACATACACATATGTACTTTTATACCAAGAATCCCTCTGGAAGCAAACGCAAGAAACTGGCAACTGATGAACTTTGGGAGAGGGACCGGGCAGTGTGAGAAACAGGAGGGCAGCTGTCTCCCTGACACCCTCTCATAATGTGAATTCTGTAATACATACATGTGCTACCCGATCAAATGCAAATCAAGTGGTGTTATATTTAAGAAGAAAAATAGAGAATACAGAATTAGCCAAATACATTTATGAGGCCTAAATTTAAGACATCTGTGATTCAGCCTTAACTGGCCTGACATAACTGGATGTAAACAATTTTGATAAAAAAAAGAAACCTATTCCCCAGAGACCCACCTGTGTGCCACATTCTGACTACACCGCTGGCAGCTGTGGTGCATGACTGGCAGCGCCGACAAGGGTGCTGCACGTTGGCTGACAACCAGTGCACAACTACAAACTCCAAGTTTCTGCCCCTTGGAGATTCCGCCCCGTCCAAGCAGTCTTCCACAGCAGGGCCCAACTATTTACCTGGCTGAGAAAAGAGCAGTGTGGACAAGTGCTGCGCAAGGGCCTGGAGAGCCAGCGCTCCGCCCAGGTGCTCCACCTCCAGGAGGGACACGAGACTCTGGAGACACATGAGGGCTCGCCACTGCACAGTGTTCATTCTGCAAGGAAAGCGGGAGATTGCTGTTTCTCTTACCTGGACAAACAGAGTCCAGGGTCAACTGCTACCCTGCGCTTCAGGTGCTGCCTGGGAGCATCGGGAAGCAGGATGGGGGTGGCAATTTGCACAGAATCCAAAGGTGAACTGTTAATCTAACAAATTACACTGCACAAGCCTCAAGGCCCCCGAGGGCCTTTTCTGAGTCATAGGAACTGGCTTTAGAAAACTTTCTGCACATGCCAGCGCCTTTCAAATTACTTTTGTGAAATATTACCTACCTATAGGAAAGCACTTCAATGCACATCCAGTTTAATAAAGTTTCTAGAGCAAATGGTAAGGAATGCTGCCAGAGCCCTCACAGCCCACCTATGCCTTCCCCTGAAGGTCACCACTCCCCTTTTCTTCATAGGGTTGCCACCTGTGTGTGCATCCCTAAACAAAGTAGCTTAGTGCCACCTGTCTATGAACTTTGTGAAAACTGAAACAGTGTGTATATTCCTTTGCACCTTGCTTTCCTGCTTGATGTTTCACCCGCATGGGGAGCAGCTCTAGCTCAGATTCTGCTTATTGCTGTCTGTGTTCTACTGTAAAATTATGCCAAAATAGATTTATCCAGTCTGCCACTGATGGGCAGCTAGGGTGTTTCCAGGCGGGGCATCTGGGAACCTCACTGCTATGCACACACTCAGATCTCGATGCACACACTCAGGTCTCAGTGCATACTCTCAGTCTCCATGCACACACTCAGGTCTCAGTGCCCATAAGCACACGTTTCTCCACGGCACATCACACACAGGAACAGAATTGTGAATCCAGGGGCAGTGGCACCTTCTACTGAGTCCACCCTTTCATATAATGACAAATGATTTTGAAAATAGAAAAGTTCTTACTTTCTAACCAAAGGTTTCCAGGTGGGATTCCTAGAACACATGTCCATGGCAACGCTGTTGGGAAAGGCAGTTTTCTCAAAAACCTAGATTTGAAAAAGTGAGTAAAGCAAAAGTTAAAGAGCAAATTCATTTTATACAGGATCCCTTTATAAAGCCCTGACACATCACCTCTAAGGGAAACGGTCAGGTTGCTAACGACACCGTCCAGCCCACTTTGAGCACTGTGAATTCTGCTTCATTTCCGTTACCCACAATGTGAGCTCACTTCCTCTGCACAGATCGAGCAGCTTTCCCAGGCCTTTCCCGGCTGCAGAGGGAGCAGGACTGAGAGCGATTACCTTCCTGGGGATGAGAAAGTTGGTGAGGGCGGCGTGGGTCTCGTGGGAGAGGCAGAGGGGAGACAGCAGCTGCCCACCACCCTCGCCCTCGCCGAGGGAACTCTCCATAAACACCTCACTCTCATCACTGCTGGAGAGCTCTTCCTCCCACTCGTCGTCAGAGGGATCTGGGAAGGGTGCAGAGCATACAGCTGGAATGAGTAAGCAAGTCCTCGGGGAGCTGCCCTGAGCCCAGGGGAGGATGGGAACTGGGCACAAACCTTCGCTGCAGCACATGTTGACGATAATCTCCAGAGCGGTCTGCTGCGCCGTCAGCAGTGCTGTGGCCTCTCTCAGTTCCTTGTTAGTGGGCTAGGAAAAAACCAACCAACCAACTCTCAATGTTTGGGAAAGTATCACTGTGTGAATTTCCTAAGTTAAAGCCTACCAGACGGTTTCTGCCCCGGGAACAGAGCACAGGGGGAGGGGAGGAGGTAGAAGAGTCATGAGGGAGCACAAAGGAGCAGACCCCTCCCGGCACTGGGGAGGCGCCACTGCCACCTGGGCTCCCACCTACCTGTGTGGCTATTCTCCACACGCTACTTAGCTAGCTGGCGAGAATGGAGAAATACTCAGGACTTGTGAATTGAAGTCGCCCTGAAACTTCACCGAATGTGTTAAGAAGTAGCCGAGCACACTAAGATTAAAATGAGCGTTCATTTCAGACACCAGGCACTGGTGCACAGCAAACCGGCTTCTAGATGCTTGCAGGTCTCCTTGGAGAAGACTGCACAAACAAGAGCTAAGAAGCTCTTCATGACCAACAGAGCCCGGCTAAGGAGCGGGAGCCTGCTTCCTGGCTCCCTTCGAAAGCTGCAGCAAGGCATTACTTTAACACTGAAGACAGAGGGTTTTTTTCCCCCCCTCTGGATATAAATTAACACAAATTTATCAATTACCATTCTTAAGAGGGGTTGGATAAATCGACACGACCTTAATTCGCAAGTCACCTATAAAAAGTGAAAAAGCTACACTGATATTCCAAAACAGTGCATAAGCTAAAAATAATGTGTATTTTACTGTCTGAATGATGGATGCACTATAATTTATTAAGCATTTCACTAGTGTGGAATATTTCAGATTACTTGCATATCTAATTTCTCAGATTTACTGGGTCAAAGTTTAAAAACTAGAGACCTGTGACATAGTCCCAATTTCCTTTCCAGAGCACTTATTTATTATCCTCCAGCAACTTCCTTGTGCAACAATTTAATTTCAAACCATGTTCTAGAAAAGCCCCCAGCAAACTGCTAATTTAAGAGATTAGTATTTGTACTCCTTTTACTGCTGGCAAGAGCAAATGTAAAAATTATTCCTATCTGCTGTGTGTATTCAACTAAACAAACATTTATCAAGGAGACAGGCTGGTGCTGGGCTCTTATCCACTTAAAATGCATGCAGATCTGGCTGAGAAGCATCTGAAATTAAGTTTCACTTTTTTATACAACTCTCCTGCTCAGAACATTTCCCTGCTTACTGTTCTCAAACTGACAGAAAGAGCAAATCTAGAGAAAATGTTATGACATCTGAGATTTCCTTCAAAAAGTTTGGTAGTAGAAGGGAGAGTGGGTGGGGGTATCGATGAAACAGAACACAGAATACTCTACTTCTGCCTACGTGAAAACAACAACCTGGGTTGCTTCTTTCTTTACATATCTGTGATTATAGCTTCTTATGTTAAATCACAGGTTCTGATTCTAAAGGACTCCTAGGAGCATGAGCTGCTGGGTACTTAAGACCGGAGCTGGCCGACTACAGGCTTGTATTCTGGGCACGTATTGGCACGATGCCTAGCAGCTGACTGGCACCTCAACACTGGCTGGCTGACCAGCATGTTAATCATCCAGTCTACTCAGCTACGTTAAGACTTTGAAAAGCAAGCTTTTGTTATAAGGAAAGACTGCATTTTATAAGCACCAAAATTTTATTTTTAAAGAATGCTTAGGAACGTAAATCTCTAAATACCAGTTAGGTATCCGTACTTTTTAACCAGTCTCAGGAGAGCTGGAGCTCGGTCTCCATTTGGTCCCTTTAGGAGCCCCTTGGAAGCCAGGCTGGAGATGGGAAAATGCTTGGGAGTGTCGTTCTCCCACCCCAGGTACTTCAGGGTCCCCTGACAGCCCACCTGTAATTTCCACTCTGCTCAGACAGAAATTTGGGGGTAAAACTGGTGCGTCAGTCAGGACAGAGTGAGTGCAGTGGGACAGTGGCAGGACAGCCTCCAGGCCTGACCTGTCCTGCCCCGACAGTGCACGTGTGGACAGGAAACCATGAGTCCCCAGATCTAGAACCTACGCCTCCTGTGACAACTTAAGAGCTGCCACCAGGGCTCTTTATAAACACCCTCTGGGGAGAAGGACGTGTACCACATACCTCTACCTTGCTTCAAAGATTTTAATTCTACTCAACTGCCGCAGAGGCACAAGTGAGACAAGGTGCAAATTTGTGGTCTAAAAGTATCCCTTGCACCACAGGGGGTGTGCCAGGATTTTTAGGACACTCTATGATTTGCAAGCAACCCAAGGGCAATATTCATCCCAGCACCTGACACGATGCTTTGTGCCTAACAGCTATTCATGGGGGCTGGAAAAGCAGTCCTAACTATGTTTTTTCTTTAAACACCACCAATTCATGCTTTACAAGACTTTGTGAATGCAAAAAGTAGTACGCTGCTATATTTATTTTCAGGTATATTTCATTTACAGCATTATTATTGGGCATAACCTTAAGAAAACTCTACGACACTGACTTAACCACCCTCAGTTCCCGTTCATTTGACACGAGTAAGGCCAAGTCAGGTCTGAAGCAGGAAGTGTGAGAGGACGTTCGGGGCGTTCCTCCAGCTCAGGCCTCCTCCCCGTCCTGTGGAATGACTCTAGCAGCCTCCTGCCCAGGCCTCTGCCTCCAGGCCCCTAACAACACTGGCCTGCTTTCACCAGGCTGTCTCAGCCCAGCCTTTAAGGTGGCTCAGGTGTCCTGTCCAGAGTGTTCTCTGACAGCCCTGTCCCTTCCTCTGCCTCCTCCATGCAAACTGCTCCCCTAGAGCCTGTGCCTAGCCCCAGTACTGTCCCTAGCACAGGCATTATAATAAATCATAACTCCGTGTCGCTCCTCCCAAGATGGAAGTGGTCTCGGGAGACAGGGAATACATCTTAATCACCTCTCTTTCGCCAGCATCTGGCCCGGTTCCTGGAACACAGCAGGAGCACGGAAGCTGTGCACCTAAACCAGTAAGCTGCGGGTCCCTGTCCTCCCGACTACGCGCTCTCCTCTTTGGGGACGTTTTCTCTAAGGACAGCTCCATCTCTGCTGACCGGCTTGGCTGAAATGTCTCCTGCACCCGGGGCTGCGCACCCTCACCCCAACATCACACCCACAGGCATAAGCCTGCCACCATCACCCAGTCTGCAAAAACCACCAGCCATTGTTCATCCTCATAACCGCCCAACCTCCTCTGTGCAGCAGCAGCGGGTATAGGACCGTCTGGCCTGCTACTCTGTAAGACTTAATATACAACAAGAGACAAGGATTTCCTGGATTGGACAATCCAGCAAAGTTAAAGTTCCTTTAGTTGGAAGGGTCTGGGAGACAATGTGTGAGTGCACTGGGGAGACACAGCAGCTAGGAAGATGACTGCATGCTTCTAAACTGTTGCAAAAGTTTGGTCTACCCCATCTTTGAAATCATCTGTTTAAAATTTTCATTTTAAACATGAGACTTTTTTCCCCTTTGGGAAAAGCTCTCTAATGTTACAGTGAGAGTTTGTGGGAAAACAGGACTGATTTTTACTGCAATTCACTTTCTAATGAATTCCTCTGTAACAATTTCCTACAAAACTTAGGATAGCTATTGAAAGAAAATCTCTGTATTAACCCATGTTTGAAAGCATCAATCTGACTTACTGGAAGTAAATCCGAAATGAAAGTTTTCCTTCTGACCCTTCTCTTACGAGGACTTTCTTCCATTTCATCGCCTTCCATCACACAATCACCGTTGGCATTCCCTAACACCTCCTCAGTCTCTGCGGCGGTTTTCAACCTCTGCGTTTCCGCCTCCTTCATTTGAATGACCATTTTGCCAGCGTCCATTTCCAAAACCTCAGATAAGATCTTTAGGATGGCATTTATGATTTCTGCTTGACTCTTGGATGGGATAATGTCCTTTAGATTCCAAACTGTGCCTGGGAAAAAATGAGCATAAGGACAAAGGAATTGTCTGTGAAATTTTGTTAAATATAGTTTTCACAAGATTGATTCTTTAAGCTCAGTTGTAATTTCAAAAATCTTGATCCCACTGTCGTTCAGCTTTTATTAAACGTCAAAGAGCTGTGCACAGAGGCAGCTCCCTTTATTACAGCCCTTCACCATCCTTTCCCTGCCTGGGCACACATACCCTCCTCTGACGCACCGCCTACCAACAGACTCAGGGCACTGATCAAGTTTCTTTGAAAACAATAAATTTAGTTGCCTCACTTTCTTTTTTTAAAATGTTTGTATTGATTTCAGAGAGAGGAAGGAAGAGGGAAAGATAGAAACATCAATGATGAGAGTCATTAATCAGCTGCCTCCTCCACGCCCCCTACTGGTGATCGAGGCTGCAACCCGGGCATGTGCCCTGACTGGGAATAGAACCCTGATCTCCAGGTTCATGGGTAGACACTCAACCACTGAGCCACACCAGCCAGGCTGCCTCGCTTTCTTTCATCTTAACCTGAGCTGCTCTCCGAGGCAGCTTATGTTCCAAGAGTGGAAAGGAATGTACTAAAATTCCAAGGTCTCACGGACAAACTAGGTAGCAGGTGTTTGTTTTTTTGCTTATCAAAATAAAATAGGAACTACCATTAAGTAGTTAGGCTAATTGTTTAAACAGTGACTGTTAAAATATGGAGGAATATTACTTGGCCTTAAAAAAGAAGGAAATCCTGACACAGGCTACAACATGGATGAGCTCTGAGGGTATTAACGCATTGTATGCGGGAAATATATTTATACGTTTTACGTTGACTGGTAGTAGAGCGTGCGATAAAAACTACCCGCAAACAATGTGTTAAGTGAAATAAGCCAGTCACAAACAAAACAAAACAAGCCATTATTTCACTTATATGAGGTGCCTAGAACAGACAGAAAATAGAATGGTAGCTGCAGGAGGCTGGGGGGGGAGGGCTGGGGAGCTATTTAGTGTGTACAGAATTTCAGTTTTGCAAGATGAAGGAAGTTCTGGATATTGGATGTACAACAATGTGAATATATTTAACATGACTGAACTGTACACTTAAAAATGGTTAAGATGAAAAATTTTACGTGTATTTAACCACTTAAAAAAAACAACTACCTCTCAAGATAAATGATCTCTGCAAGGCCAAAGGGCAAGAGGAAAATATAAATAGAAACTGTAATATTACCAACTACTCAATGATCATCAGATTATTCCTTATGTTTGTATTTAGAAATTCTGAGGGGGAAAGAGTTGGGGGTGAAGACCTTATAATAAAGTGAGTGGTGTATCTTGGATGCCCATGGTCCACTTCTGCTTTCCCTGGTTAATAAGGGGACCCTGGCAGCAACATTTCTACATCAGACAACAGTAGTTTGTTACAATGAAAACAAATAGACTCTATAAGGCTTCCCAACTAGCACAACTGCTTGAATTAAGTCTCCACTTCTTCAGAACAGACATAAACACAGACGGCCCTGACTGGTGAAATAATAGTTTGGCCCGCTATCTCTACCCATGACAAGTTACTAAAAAGCACCCTGTCACATATGGCTAAAGTTTACCTGCCACCAGGGTCTTTAATAGAATATATTCCATGGAACTGACAGGAGAGAGCATTGCTGATTCCAGCACATGCAATGCTGAGGCATTGAACGATTTCAGTAGCTCTGGGTTATCTTCAGTTACTGTCTGCAAACAATATGCTATGAAGACACAAAGGAAATATTTAGAAACAATGAATTCTGCTCAGGTAACTTACAACAAAATAACTCATTGAAAAACACTGCATCTTTACGAATTCTTCGGACACAGATAGCTTTTGTAGGATATTCATGCTCAGGGCAGATGAGTCACATACTAACCAAACAGTCAGTGTTATTAAAGATTTTTTCTTAATTTCTAATTCTTTACAGAAATAGACCTTTATAAATAAAGGCTCTGAAATGTCATGACAGTGTAGAGTTACTATAAACATCAAGAAAGGCTTATCCTAAACTGCTCATCGCAGATAAGTAGCAAACAGTTTGCGGACCAAACACCAGTCCACAGACAACACTCTTAGAGTAGTACTGTTTGCCCGTAACAAGTTGTAGGTTTTGGGACATTCTGGCTTCTTTAAATTCAGTACGACTTTAAAAGTTACAGTTATTTCTGGTGAAGCAATATTTCTTTAAGGAAAAAATGTATTTTATATAAAAGTATAAGCAAATTCAGAGGTGGGTAAAATACTAAGACGTATGATCCATTTAACTCCTCCCCTCAATTAAAACAAGACAAATAAATCTATAACAACACTAAAAGCACAAAAACAGAAGTGAAGTTTTTCTTTTAAAAGCTATGAACTTTCCTGAAATTCTTACTGAAATAAAAACCATCCTCTGAGATTAAAAGTCACCTACCAATTTCCTAGTTCCACTGCTTATAAAAATCCACATTTACTCACAAATCTCCCCTCTGCCAAAGATTCCATTTTAAGAAAATGATTTTAAAATTTTCCCCAGTAGTATTTGTTCCACTTTTTTTTTCTTTTCTGTTCTCTTAAAAGAGAACATTAGAGTCAAGAGAAACATCATTAAGGGGAATACACTTCAGGACAGGGAATACACTTTGTCTCGCCAAGAGAAAGGCAGAGTTAAATAAAAGGATGCCTGCCAGTATGATGGGTAGAAAAGCAATGCTTTTCACCAATTATATCTCCGCTCTACCCCAAAGTCCTGTTGAGCCACCCACCCTCTGGTTTCTGTCTCCTACCCCAATGGCTGTCTAACCCCATGGGCAGGAGGAGGGAGCTGGGGCAGCTGAAGCTGCCAGACTTTCCTTTCCCATCCCATGGAAGGGAAGCGGGCCTGTGAGTAATTTCAATCACTTGTTCTCCTCTCTCAAAAAAAGCCCAGGTGCCTGGTCGGTTTGGCTCAGTGGTTAGAGCGTCGGCCAGAGGACCGAAGGATCACGGGTTCAATTCCCTGTTATGGGCACATACCTCAGTTGCAGGTTTGATATCTGGACCTGGTCAGGGTGTATGCAGGAGGCAACCAACTGATGTGTCTCTCTCACATCGATGTTCCTCTTTCCCTCTCTCTAAAAATCAATGGGGGGGGAAATACCCTCGGGTGAGGATTTTAAAAAAGGCCTGGTAGTTGTGGGTTAGTTTCTGTGTAAATGGGAGATGAAAATTCAAGAATTAAGAGAGGCTTCTGAGAAGGCAACACACTAGAAGCCACATGGGCTTCAATAATCACCTTCCTCCCTTCCTGAGTGAGAAGCAGGAGAACTGACCACAGATTTTAAAAGATTCAAAACAAACAGAACTCAACTATGCATTTACATACAGTGAGGAAAAAAATCACTCCTATTGAATAAACATGCTATGTCTGATTAAATTTTTAAATAAGGCCACACATACTTAATAAATCATCATCTTTTCTTCACTTACCTACTGAAATAGCCAGGTCAACATTGGTGGAAAACCTACTTAAATACTTTAATATAATCTCCAAACACCCTTCTTTGTTGAATATAGATACTGCTCTACTACTGCATTCACTAAATTGAAGGGGGGAAAAAAAAGTTTTACTAGTCACATTTTAACATTAAGAAATCAACCACAGAAATTCATGAAAAAATAAATCAGGCTTTACATAAGAACCAGAGTTGGAGTCCAACACCCACCACTTTCATGGATGAAGAAACCAATGCCCACTTATATCCCCTGTACGTGAACACAGCTATGTTTTTATTTCTCTATTGCAGTAGGACCTTTTAGCCAATCTCTTTACCTGCACCTCCATTTTCTTACAGGAGGTCAGAGATGGAAGTGCTCTTAGAAATCACTTTCTTTTAGATGAGGAGACCAAGGCCCCAAAAGGTGAAGCGATCTGTAGAGCATTTTGTTAGCGGCGGCTCCTCGGGTCTGGCCTACTGTTCTTTCCACTGTACCGCAGTAACAATAAGGTCAAGTAAGGATAAAAGGCCTCTGTACTTAACATCCCCAAAACACAAATCTTAAGAAAGTAGAATTAAATTTCATTCATTCTTTCTAGATGGCTATTCAAATTTTGACAAGGAGAATTTACAGTCTGCAACAGAGATACGGCTATAATAAATATTTTTAAAATTATACCACCTGTTAATCAGAATTAATGTTATTAACGTTATCACTGTTATTAATAAACATACACACTAAATACAGGGTAAACAGAGCTAATTATAATTATTATATCCATGTTTCCAGAGAAAAGCATCACTCCATACACACGACATATACATACGACACACTAGTAGCTAACAGTTGACTAAATTATTAAATTCAATCCTCTATCTAAACATAAACTATTCCTGTCTTCCTATCTAGTCACTGCACGTTGTATGAGCCTACCCTCAAGGAGCCCACAGTAAAGTCAGGTATAGTCAGTGAGGTAAACATACATGCATTAAAATATATACATATATAAAAAAAACCCAAAAATGTGAAGTGCTATAACAGGAAATGACAAGATAGGGCTCAAAGGCTTTCAGGAAAGAAATAACTATGGAGATCACGCTTTCAGGCCCTTCCCAGAGAAATGTTTAGGAAATTTCCAAGTTCAATAATTAGGTAAGTTAAGGTTACGTGGTGTACCGCCAGCTTGCTCGCAGGCTGTTTCCTCAGTCTGAGCTCTCCAGTTTTGCTGGTGGGATGCATACACCAATTTAAAATGAATCCCAGGCAAGTCTGGACTGCTGTGCCGGTAGCTTTTCAGATCTAACTGAATCTTGTCTTCTAAGAAATAACTGTGCTTTTAGATTGTTATAATCACTGCTGACTGAAAAAAAGGAACTACGATAGAATCTTGCTAAAAATGTAGAACATAAAATGGGGTAGAAAAAGTAAATCCAGGTTGTGTTTCTAGCCATTTCCACTCCTAAGGGCAAGTGCACCCCACCCCACGGCTGCTAGAGTCATGGGATGGAGTGAGGCCCTCTTCCTACTGGGCCACAGGAGCTCCTCGCAGGCATCTACTTCCCTATCACGAGGCAATGCCAGGGAAGGAATAAAGCACCAGCCCAACTTTGTGGTCCCTGTCTCATTCCAGATGTCGAGCCAAAGCAGCAACTGCGCTGGGGCAACTGCTGCTTAAGGTATAGGGGCAGTGAGGGGAGGGGTGTATGGTACATGCCAATGGCCAGGACTCCTCATTTTGTGGTCAGCAGTAACGACTAGAGAGAAGAGCTGTAAAGCATGAAAAGACATAGTGATGCGATGAGGGAAAGGGCTAAGCCGAGGAAGGAGGACTGATCTTAGATCACCTGACTTGACTGCCTACTAAGTGTCACCATCATGGGTATACAGGTGCATCACGGAGAAAAGAGATTCCTCTGGGGTTAGGCAGAAGGCTCAGCAGCCTGAGCAGCACTGTAGCCGGAGGCTGGGTCTGGAAAGCATCTTACCATATATTCCACAGCACGTTCACGGCCTCATTGGCTATGTTCTCAACAGAATTTCTGTTCCGATCTTTTTCTTCCCCTAGAGACATCTCATTTGAATCCAGTCCAGCACTACACTGTAACCAAATATCATGATTAGCACCCTGGTTCAAAAGAACAATTAAACAAAAGACTAATGACAAGAATCACAAAAACTAAATATCAGAAATGAGAGTGGTCAGCAGGCCAATGAAATCCTTATAAACAGCACAGTGCCCACAATCCTGCTCCCCTTTGGCAAGAGATACAGACAAGAAAGGGTCACAAATCAATGTATAAACTAATTATAAAGCATTTCACATCAAAATGAAAATGTAAAATCAATACAAAGTATTTTATCTAATGTGATAAAGATGGTAAATAAGGCAAAGAAAAGCAGCACATAATAAGAGCTAACACATCTGCACAGTACCTTCTATGTGCAAGGCACCAGTCTCAGCAGTTTAATATATTAAGTCACTTAATCCTCACCACAAACCTATGAAGTAGATAAACTATTATCCCCAGTCTCCCGTTACAAACAGGAAACTGAGGTACAGAGCTTGCTGGAGGTGTAACATGGTAGATGATGAAGCCGGGGTTCAGACGGAGGTACTCTGGCTCCAAAGCAGACGCTGGGAACTGCTCTGCAGTACTGCCCCCCTCTAGTTTAACCCACAGCACCCCCTGAAGCAGGGCGTCTCATCTCGGCACACTGACATTCTGGACCAGATGATTCTCTGTTGTGGGGGGCTGACATGTGCACCGTAGGATGTTTAGCAGCATCCTTGGTCTCTACCCCACCACATGCCAGTAGCAGTCCCTACCTCCAAGCTGTGACAATGAAAAATGGCTCCAGACTTTGCCAAATGTCTCCTGTGGGGCAAATCACTCCTAATAGAACCAGTGCTTTAAAAAAGGAACAAGACTGGTGCCTCTCATCAAAACTGGATAATCTTTATATAGCCTTGAGTGAAAATTACCCATCAATTCAGAATAGTGGATCAGAGGCACACCAAAGAGAAAGCAACTTAATCCTGGAACTATATCATGCAATAAAGTTGGCATCTTAAATTTGGGAACTTAATGTCATGTTCGAGGCAAAAAATACAGATATTTTACAGATGCCAAATGGACTGCTATGAGGATTTAACAGTCCACAAAACAGCACCTGGTATATACATTAGCAATGAGTAATACTAATTATTTTATCATATGAAATTTAAAGTCTAAAGAAGTCTGTTTATAGTTTTAGGAAGGTCTTTTCCAACTAGCATAGAAATAAAGGTAGGGGGGACAAACTAGAGACTGCTATTAAAGATGAGGGATCAGTGTTTCCAAGAAAATAAAATTCCCATAGGATGTTCTGAGGGAAGACAAAATAACTAACACCAAAGTACTAAAAAATAAAAAACACAAAACACAAAAAAATCCCACTAAGTCTGTATACTAAAAGCTACAGCAACATGTAGTTTAAAAGACTGCCACCAGAATACTTTAAAAACTGCATACCTCTCTGAGCAATGCCACCAGAGGAGTCATGATATCCTTAGTCACCATGTCATCGCAAACTTCAAAACCTCCACAGGCACTGAGATTTCTACACAAGAAGTTTAAAAAATGTGTTACTTTCAGATCATGTTACAAAACACCATGAAGCTCAAGTTTATTTCTATTTCTAACCATGCTTAAGCTTTCCCAGACAAAACTGTTTATTTATTTTGATAAGATGCTGCAGAAGCCATCCACTGATTTCCACCTGTTCTGATCCCTGCCCTACATGATGTAAACAAACGACTTAGTCCTGGAACAAGTCTGTCTGAGACAGAACACAGGTGTGTACCTATAGGGAAGGGAAATGGAGGAACTTTTCCTATTTAATGTGAATAAATCACAGCCTAATCTTACATGAAGGGACCTTGCCTTAGAAATAAGACATCAGGGGCAGTAAGGGTAAGGCTACTGAGAATGACATTCCCTGAAGTAACCCTGGCTTGTTAAGTCAAGGAACAAAACACAATAAATAGAGACAGAGCTCTAAGGACTACAAGTAGGGTACTAACTTCTGCTCTTGCCCCCTCTGCAGCCCATTTGCTGCACAGCCACCAGAGTGGCCTTTTGAAAAGGTAAACTGGATCATGTCACTCCTGCTCAGAATAAACAGGTCCTCTAGCCCTGCACCCCCAAGCCTTTGTCCATCTCTCCAGCCTCATCTCCCGTAACACCGCGCCCTACCCTGCTCGGCACACTAACCTTTCATCCCTTACCCAGGCCAAGCCCTTTGCCGCCTCCCTCCTCTGCAGCTGCGGGCTCTCACCGGCAGCTGTCATCTAGAGCGCACCCGACCTACAGCGACGCCTCACCCCCAACGCGTCATCCTCTTGGTTTTCTCCACGGCACGTCTCACTACCTGTTATCTGTTTTACCTGTTCGCTGGTCTCCTGTTTGTCTCATCAGCATGGGTTTTGGGAGGCCGGGATCTCGGCTGTTCTGGTCAATGCCTTGCCTGCTAAAACCCCCTGCACCCAGGAGACCTGGCGCATACATGCAGGAAGCGTTCCCTGAACCCCAGCACTCTCGGAGGGTCCTTGGACAAGGGACAAGGTGCGCCGGGCCCTGAGGGGAGGATGCTGAGGGTGAAGCGGCCAGGTGGACTCAACGGAAAGCGTGGGAGCCTCTGGAGCTTGAGTTCAAACGCCCCCTTCTGCAAATGGGGGCCCCGGGCAGCTCGTGGCGCTCCCGCGCTGCCTACGGCAGGTGCACCGAGCGCGAAACG